ATTGGGAAATAAAAAAGGATGAAGATAACTTGTATTATGTAACAAATAAACAAGAAATGCATCAAATAACATCTTAGAATAAACAGTTTTAAATAACAGTAGAAATATTTTGGGAAACAGACGAATAGAATAAACATTGATTTAGCAAATGAATAAACAAACAGGTAAAAAATTGTAATACTAAAATGCATTTTGTAATAAATAAGAAAAAGAATAGCTTAGAAAATAGCAAAATGCACTCGGCAACAGACTGACAGAATCAGGGTGACTTTAGAAAGCAATAAGAAATATTTTATAAGTAACAAAGAGAGTGAGAATATCTTTAGAAAACAACAAAATGCACTAGGAAGCAGACAAACAATAAAAGAATGTCTTCAGGAAAGAACAAAAAAATACATTTAACGCTAGGCAAACAAAATGAAACAAACGATAGAAAAAAGGGATTAGAGGACAGATAAAAAACAGGCAAAAAAATGAAAATAATAAATAACTTTAGAAAACACCTACAAAAGGCATTTAACAGCTGATAAAAGTAGAAGGAATTACATTGGATAAAACAAGGTCAGTATTAAAAAACAAACTGCTAACTGAAGGAACAATAACTCCAGAAAACAATCATTATTAAAACATCCCAGTGAAATACCCTTCGAAAAACATGGATATAAGAAAACCACTTCTAAAACCTTAGAAACACAAGCACCGTGACAGATAACCTTAGAGCATAACAAACCATAGGAAAAAAGTAAAACAAAAAAGGTAATAACAAGAGTAGAACATGTGAAAACAAATGCCTTTAAGTAGATTCGAAATCTATATCCAGTTCATATGTTTTCCAAGTTTAGTAAACAATATCCATATTATATACATAACTTAGAGAAAACAAAAAAAATATGCTGGGTCAAAAAAATTCGGAAAAACTTTAGAGAGCACACACTGAAAGACAAACTTAAAAAAACAATTTTCAGAGAACAACGTTAGAAAAAAAAACAATAATAAACACGAGAAACCAGAAGATGAGAATACAATTGCCATTTTCTCTATCCAGTTCAACGTGTTTTCCTAAATTTAGAAAACAACAGCCTCTGGCAAAGATCATCTCTAGAAGAATAAAACAGAAAGAAAATTGTTTAAAAAGAGAAAATCGAACACATTGGCTTTGAAGATGATTCGATTCCTTTATCGAGGTCAATATGTTAAAGGTTTAAAGCGTTTTATCGTTATGATCTCTGGTGCCTGCGTCGCTACACTATAAAATCCTTGGCCCTGAAGTTAATCCTCAGTATCACGCATGCGGTTTTGTGAACAATGTTTCCGTGTGCAAGGATATCTATTATTTAAGAACACGTGTGGCTAATAACTGGTCGTGTCAAAGTATTTAGATTTTCTTTTCTGTTATTGTTTGTTTGTTGTTTATTTTTATATTTACTTTATTTTTATGGGGTGAATATTTCAATGTGTTTACTGTGTATGTTTGATGTGTATGTGCGAATAGTTCTTGTAGTTCAGAAGCTGTTAAATGAAAACAGAAAGTTCGACTCTTGTTCTGCAGACACAAACACACTCATACACACACAAACACGCATAAACACACACAAACACTCTCTCTCTCACACACACACACAAACACGCATAAACACACACACACACAGCATCCTCTCTCTCCACACACACAAACCTGGCATAAACCACACAGAGAAACACGTACTAAACCACATTGACACAAATATACACACAAGTTCAAATCACACACTCAAGCCCGCCTCCCCTCCCTCACACACCACTGACGACACACAAAGTACAAAAACAAATAAGAATGCACACAAGTGCCAACACACAAAACACAAAACAAGAAACATAACGCACAAACAAACACACTCATTTTCCCACACATAATATATCACCTCACAACACCAACACGCATGACATCACGGCTGCGTTCCCCCCCATACTCCCTTCATCTCGCATGACACCGCACGCACATCAGACGCAGCAACCGCTTGATACAACCAATCCAGAGTTGCTTTAGGCTAACTAATGCTACTCACCCTTCCAAGCAACCCATGCTTCTCTGCTTGCAAAACATGTCACTCTCAGATCGCTTCTTACAACTCTCTCTTGCTCCTTCTCTTGCTTGTAGTTGCTCTGACGCCGAAATCATTGTTGTTGCTTTGGTATTTTGTGATAGTGATGATAAGGATAATCAGGGTGGTAATAAATGGTGATGATAATGATAATTGTGATAAAGTATGTAGAACATTAATACGATATAAATATTCACTTTGCTGGGAGAATTATCATCAATGGTGATGTTGTATGAGATATGATGATAATAATAATTCAGGTGTCAATAAGGGGATATATGAAATAATAACAATCATAGTAATGATAATAATAATGATAATGATAATAATTACTATCGTTATTTATTATTACCTTGATCAGTTATTTACCATTTTGGGATAATAAATAAAAATAATATTTTTTATATAAACTTATTACTAATAATTCTCTTCTCGTCTTCTCTCTGTCTGTTCTCTCTTCCCTTAGGTGTTCTCTCTTCTATCTCGCTCTTTCTTTCTCCTAATTTCTAAAATCCAAATTCTCAAAAATTCCTCATACCAGCATCGCATCCTCCCTCCTCCCTCTCACCCCCACCAGCCACCCCACCCTCCCTTCCGTCTCCCCTTCCGCCCCTCCTCCTCCCCCCCCCCCGAACATGGGCGTCACCCCCCCCCCTTCGTGAATCAGCGGTTTCGTTAAGCGTGAATTGGGCTTGATTTATGGCCATTGTGAGACGTCGTTGGGCGGGCCTCCTCGCCTGCTTGTCTTGGCTCGAGCTTGTGCTTTTTTGACGATTGGTTGTTGGGTTGTTTGACTGATTGATTGTTTGGTTGATTGATTGGTGTGTTTGGATTGATTGGGTGTATGTGTTTGATTGATTGTTTGGTTGTTGTTGTAATTTTATGCTTTGATTGATTGTTTGATTTTGATTGGTTGTTTGTATGCTTGATTGATTATTTGGTTGTTTGCTTGATTGATTGTTTAATTGTTTGCTTGGTTGGTTGCTCGATTGTTTGTTTGATTGATTTATTGGTTATTTGATTGCTTGCTTGCTTGCTTGTTTGTTTACTTGATTGATTGGTTGTTTTCGTTTCATTTGTTCTTTCTTCTATTTTCCTTTGTATCAGAAGAAATAAAAATAAAACGGGGAGTGTGATCATGTTTATATTGTTTTTTTGTTCTTGCTTTATTTTTGTTGTTTTTGTCTATCTGTTTGTTTGTCTCTGTCTGTCTGTCTTTATTATGAGTCTTTTCTTTTAAAAATCCCTCTCATCCCCTGCCATTATTTATTAATCTATTTACTTTAAAAATAATCAATTTATATTTATTTATTTATTTATCTATTATTATTTTTCAACATTTCCCTTATTTTTTCCCTTTGGCGTCCTCCTATCAGCTGACAATTCGCAAGTCGTCAGCTAAAATGTCGCTTTCGTCAGCAATTTCAGTCCACGCGCATTTCGGAGAACTTGCAAGCCGTAAGAAATGTGATAAAAATGATAATAAGCAATAATTCGATAGTTTTTCTTCCGGTCGGGGCGAGAACAGGGATTAGATTGAGGATTATCTGTGGTTTTGTGGACGTATTTTGTGGA